CAAATGGTGTGTGTTTGCTTGCTAACCACCCCCCCACCCCCCCCACCCCCCACACCCCCCACATCTTGGTCTTTCTAAAGGATTGCTGGTTGAATGGCATAGAATTGCCCTGTGGGGCCTCTCACTTGAGGCTATTGAGCTGGGCTTACTGCATGCCTGTTCTTAAACTGGCTGCATCTGTTCTTTCGTTCAACTTCAGCTAAGTTGTTGTGCCTTTCTTCTGTTCCCAGCCTCCTCCAAAGATACCAGACAAGCAATTAGACGAAAGAGAGCACACAATAGAAGAATGGAAAGGTGAGATATAAATGTTTTCGGTGTTCAGCATTAGCCGAGTCAGATGCCAGTAGAGATGCAAGGAAGGAGGGTTAGGAGGAGTGCTGAATTGTGGCATTTTAAACATCCACCAACCAGGGGCCTAGGCAGAGGCAGCAACGACCTCTCTCTGTGTGTGTGTGTGTGTGTGTGTGTGTTTCACAGGTCTACTACCAGGTTGGGGAAAGGGGGAGGGGGGTTAGCGCAGTGGAGGTGGACAACCTGCTCCCTGTCCTGTAACCTCATTGCTTTCGGTGGGAGGCCTTTCCACTCTGCGGCCGTCCACACCAGAAGGAACCCAGGTCTTGTTTCCCTGCTTTCTGGGTTGAGTGTCAGTTGGAAGAAAGACCGATAAGTCAGTCGTAATAATTTTTTCATGAATAGCCATAATAACCAGCCCCTTTTGAAAGTGACATGAAACCAGATCAGCTCCCCGTGTGGCGCATAGTGTCCCAAAGACTGGAGAATTGGGAGAACTGGAGGCAAACTCCAGGGCGGCTGGGTGGGGGATGAGAAATCGTGTGTTTGTGGACGGGCAGACCCCGAGGCATTGGCTGCGTGGGCTTGGTCACGGCCTTTCTCAGTGAAGGGGTTGGCCTTCTGAAAGGAAACTCCGTAACTACTCCATGGATTATCTGGGACTGAAACATTCATCTATACAATTGCAAAAGGCCTGCAAAAATATTATCGTGTTCTGCATGTGTCAGCAAGCTTTGGTTCCCTATGTGCTGTTAGTCCCATTCATTTAAGTGGTTCCATGGTTCTTAAAGGAGAATGGAATGGCCTTGCTTGGCCTGTCTGATCCGTTCCTTTGTGGAGTTTCACCTTGCAGAAGGTGGCTCTCTTTTTTTACAGGTGAAATTGCTTCTCTAGATTGCTTGAGATACTTTACAGATAACACTACAACTGCTCATTTACAGAACTGATTTACAAAGAAGTTGTGGAGCTGGAGGAGAGGACCAAGAACGGAGTCATACGTGGGCAGCCATCTCCTTTAGGTTAGTTGCTACGGGTCTTCTTCGGTTAATGCCACCTGTAAGGAAAAAGGGCCGTTCCTATCCAGCCTTGGTTCACAAAGACCCTGTCTTGTCTGAATGTTGCGATTAGGCCTGCTTCTTATCCACGTAGGCAGTTACATAGCGTTCTGCATGTGTAAATATCCATGTTTACCTTGGACATCAGAGTAATTGTATGCAATGGGAATGCAGACCATTTCTCTGCAAGGAGGTTGGCCATAATGTCTACATGTGGGAGAAAAAGCAACTCGGTGCAACTCTTTAGCTGGTAGGATCTGCTTGCATTTATTGGTCGTCAGAAACACTCCAGCTCTCTCTCCGTTTCCCAGGCTGGAAATGTTATTTTCGCTGAGTTGTCAACAAGCTGGGAAATGTCCTAGTCTCTGGTCGTTACTGCCCATCTGGTGCGATTAGGCCAGGGCCGAGAGTCGCCCAAGTCACCCGGCTGGCTTTGTGGCTCAGGCAGAACTAGAACTCGTGCCCTGCTGGTCTCTCAGCTGGCACCGTTCAGCAGAACCTCAAACAAGCTCTCAGAGCTCTCAAGCTCTCCCTTTAGGGCAGGGCTGAACCGAAGTACGCAGTTGTCCTCCCTGGCCGTAGGAAGAAGGTTGCGGGTAACCAGGAACCGGCCAGCGGAAGAGGAGCTGACCGGAGGAGCGGGGGATCTCTCTGCAACTGAAGTGGTGCTTTCTTTCTCATAGCACAGGTGTAGCAACCGCCAATGGCCCTCGGCATCCATCTTCATCCCCATCAGTCTGTGATGCATCTTCACTGTCCACTGACCGGACTCTGGCCTCCGACACGGACAGCAGCCTGGAAGCCTCCGCCAGTCCCTTAAGTTGCTGTAGATGACGGCGAATGGATGTAGGAGGGAGGTGGCTACCAACAAAAATCAGTGGTATTATTTTGGGGTGTTTTTAAAAGTAATTGTGGGATTAATTTTCAGAGTGCTAATTTTAAAGTAAAATAGTAAATCACGATGCTATTCTGTAATTAATTGTACAGTATGGAACTTAATTTTTATTGTTTTAAAATTGCATGCTTTACTACTGTGATTTTTGACTTTATTTTTTCAGGATGCATTTATAAGATAGGTTTATTAAATGTAATATTGCTATTCAGTTTGTATCACAGCTTCTTTCAAGGTCTTTCAGATTTGTTTTTTTAGAGAATCTCTATCAGCAGAGCCATTTTTCAATCTTTTATTTCCAATTGTTGTTACTTGTGGGATTATAGGTTATGGAATAATGCCTGGATAAGATCTTTGAACAAAAATGCTTCTGTGGGGTTTATCCAGGGAACGCTGCTGCCTAAGCCAGCTGTCTCCAAGGGAGGCTGTGTATCCATTTGCCCAAAGGGAGGTTACGGGGGTGGGGGGTGGGGTGAGGAGTGGGCACGCCAGCGATCCCAGGGGTGAGGTGGGCTGAATGTTGCCATCGGCCTGCCTCTCACCTCCTTTGCACGAGGCCTTTTAAGATAATCCCCCGTTTACACCTGCAGTGTCTTCACTTCTCCACTCATCTGTTGCATTAAGATTAGTAGCACTTCTACAAACCAAAATGCCCCCCCCCCCAATGACAGCTTTCCTCTTGACCTGCAGCTGATACTTCTGGATCTGTGGTAAAAGTATTCAATAAGTGTACTGTGTACGCTCCGGAGGTGTGTGTCAGCCTGTGCAATACTTTTGTGATGTTGGGTATTGGAACAGCCCAACAGGAGCCACAAAAGAAATGAGGACTGCACTAAGATCATGTTTTGGTTAATTTCCTTCCAAGAAAAAAAAAAAGTGTAGAAATGCTGACTATAATTAAAAATGGTTTTGCTTTCTGCTGAAATGAGTTTCAATACATATCTTTGAATATGTATTTAATTTTATTCCTCTGATTCAAATTCTGAGTTCATTGTGAATTTAAAATTGTGAATTTAAAAAAATGCAGATTTTTGAGAATTAAGCTTGTACTTTCTGCATTGTGTAGATAGAAGTCATATCTGTTTGTTTTTATTTATTAAATTTGTATGCTGCCAGTTCCGCCCGACTCTTGGCTCAGGTTACAGTAACTTAAATGTCCACGATTTGCATAATTCTACAAACAGCAAAACATACTCGGCAAATGTGACACTGAAGGAGCCGTGACAAACAATGACATTAAAACAGACACGCAGCGCCGGAAGGCAGACCGATTCCTCGCAGGCCTAAAACAGCCTCTGTCCCTCAGCCCAGGGACAGTTGCTCCGCATCCACAGAGCTCGGGGACAAGAGAAGCCAAACGGCCCTTGGCCTCCGAGGGCCGTGGGGATAACTCAGATTTTAATGTTTTCTGGGAACCTGTCCGCTCTGGGAGAGCAGCATAAGTGGGAGGCTGCATCCTTTCTTTGGGCCTTCTGGTGGTGGAAATGTTTTTTCCTGGCTCCAGCCCCCTTCCTTCCATTATCGTGGAAAGGTGTGGAGTCTCCCATTATATTTGGGGGGGGGGGGACGACTCCGTAAGAGAGAAATGGATCAGGTACCCAGAGCATAAATGGAATAATTCCCATGCCTAATTTATTGCGCCTATTGTGTCCTGCTGCCCCCTACGTTTACGTATCCTACAGGGATACGGCGGATCTGAATTGGCCCTTGCGGGGGAAAGAAGCAGAATTCCCTCTGAGAATGTCTCTGATTTACAGTCAAGGCAAAAGCCTGCAAGGGAAGATTATCCGGTTGGTGATACAGCGTGGCGATACGAATAGTCCTAGCAAATACGTCTATAAAAGGAGAGCATTAAAGGGCAACTGAAAAGTAATTTTAATTTTGCAGACCAGCCAAGTATTATTCTTCCATGCTGGAGAAGGATGATCCAGAGCCATCGCCACTCTTTGCCACCACTGTGTATACCACCCTACGCTGGATTTAGCCAAGCAGCTGTCATGCTCTGCTGCCAGTGAAATCCTTTCGCCGCTTCCTCACCAATCTCTGATTCTCCATTTAGGTCAACAACGGTGGCAGGACACATAAGGCGGCAACAGGACACATAAGGCGGCAAAGTAGGCCTTTATCTGTAGAGGGCGGGGCAAAACTGCTTGGCCGGCCAGTCAAGTGTGGAGGGCAGCTGCCCCCCTTCAGGCTTTACCCCACTGACTCCCTGCAGTGATTCTCCCCAGTGTTGTGAAGAAATGCTCCATCTCTCTTCTTGAAGGGTTTCTCTCCTCTGCATCTTTCCTTGCCCACTCGGAGTTCCTCAGCTTGATTTCCACCATGGCCAGCTGCTGCTGCTGCTTCTTCTTCTCTTGGATGAGCTCTTCTTCTAGTCTTGTCACCAGCTTCTCCCTCAGTCCTGTCCTTGCTTGTTCCATCCTTAAAGGGGAAAGAGAGCATGGGTTAACCCCACAGCAGCAGCAGCAGGCGCATTTTGAACAGCCGGGTCATCAGAATGTCTGCGAAAGTCACGTCTCCGTGACTTTAAGAGACGTCAGGTGTTTTTTGGCCACCCTTCATTTCCTTCAGCCACGCCCTCCACACCTTGGCTTACCTGGCGGCCCTTGGCTCGCGTGGGCATTTCACAGCCCTGGCTCATTACTCTGCCGGCTCTGGAAGATTGGCAGATGGCTGTGAGGGTAACATTAAAGGCCCTCCTAAGGATGGTCATACTTTATCTCCCCCCAAACACGCATCCCAGAGGCCGTTTGTGAAAGTTGATGTCCCACACAATTCAGGTCAGGATTACAAGCTAGAGGAAGGTGAGCATTAAGGTTTTATGGAGAAGGGCAAAGAGCCTCTAGGAATCTTGCACCACGGCTCCTAGCATCACTGCCCAGGCAGCCAGAGAGAATCGCGGAGGGAGCAATTCTGCCTTTTATTCTCGGCTGTTGCATAACCACCTTCCTTGGTCTCCTGCCTCTCTTCCCTTGCCGTTGGCTCCCCTTGCATATACCTCCTAAAGGGGGTCTCATGCTCAGGCCTCTGTTCTCGTAGCTCCACCCTCAGTTCTGGGATGAGAGCTTGCAGGGCTTCTGAGCAGTGGCTGGCATCTCCAGAAGTGACGGACACGTTGTCTTCGTCCCTGCTTCTGCCACAGCCTGCCCCTGGCTCACCACCGCTGCTCTCCAGAGAGACCTCGCCCTGTGGTAAGGGCCTGCCCGGAGGGTGTCCCTTGGGAAGGGGGTTCAAGGCCAGGCACATGGCCCAGGGGCTGACGGAGTCCACAGCAAGAGACAGGCCACTGGAGGAAATGGAGCCGCTGGGGCTGGCGCTGCTACGAGCATCCTCCAAGAGAGGAAGGACGGGGACGTTGTCGTAGGTGGGGGAGAGCCTTCGGCAGGAGTCGGAATCTTGGCCTCTCAGGGGGCCTTGAACAGCCGACCGTCCACAAACCAGCCAGTTCTCGTGGAAGGAGAAGCAGCAGCTTCCCAAGATGGAGCTCCTTGGTGGGTGGTGGTAGAACGGCCCGGCTCCCGAGCCTTTCCCAGGGGACGAGCCTTGCTTCCTGGGCTCGGGGCTGCTGGCCGGCTGGTTTCCTTTCTGGCTGCAGTCTTGCCTGTGAGGCTTAGTTGCAGAAGGCCTGGGAGGTGGAAGCGAGCCAACAGGGCTGCAAAGGCTGTTTTCTGTCTGGCCACTCTGCAGGTTCCGGCTACCCAACTAGGTGGATGCTGGAGATCAGCTTCTGGTTGGACCGAATCCTGAATCCGAGAGGGGTCAAATATCTTCCCATGCTCACTTATCAGAATAGCCATTAAGCCCCGAACCAGCGAAGGACCTGTGAGACGAACATTCAGTCATGTTAGGGCAACTTCTTTTGCAGAGAAAGGCATTTACTCGACATGAAGGCATTGAATAACAAGGGATTCCCATTTCCCCGAAAGTCCTTCTGATGTGGTCTGGATGGCTTGAACGGCTATTCAAGTGGGGTGTGGCGGGGGTTGGTCCTGGATTTGAACTCATCATTTCCAATAATGATGTAGATGAGAGAGAGAGAGCTGAGGGAGTGCTAATCTGGTTGAGTGGGAGATCCGATACCTTTCCCTTTTTCATGGGGGAGTATCTTGAGTAGTGCGTTCAGCCCCAGATACCACAATTCAAGAGGGATTCAGCCAAAGAGAAACGAGTTCAGAAAAGGTTTATCTTCATTTCTGATTTTGCAATGTTCACTAGGGACATGGTTTTAATCCTGAAAAACCAGTTTTCACTGTGTCTTTTGACCCCACAACTATTAGAAGATGGAGCAGTTAAGGGATTTTGAGTTTTCTTTTAAAATATTGCTATTCTTTTTCTACCTTTTCTGGAAGCCTGGCACTCTGATAAATTAGCTATCAATAGACACTTAGATATAAACAACATCTACATATTGTGCGCAATAGAAGTAGCCCTTAGACTCATATACCGCTTCACGGTGCTTTACAGCCTCCCTAAACAGTTTACAGCATCCGCATATTGCCCCCAACAATCTGGGTCCTCATTTTACCGACCACGGAAGGATGGAAGGCAGGTAGCCTGCAGTACTGAACTCTAACCACTGTGCCACCACAGCTCCCATCCAGACCACGAGACAATCAATCAGCTAAACGGGGAACAAAAGGACAAAAACACCCCACCCACCCCCACAACACT